GCATAAGTATTTGTTTGAACTGCACTTTACTATTGTGACCGACCATGAAGCACTACAGTTCTTATTCAATCCCAACTACTCTGTCGCTAAAGCAACAGTTGCCATAACTCACTGATGGAGTGTTGCGTTGGCGGCTTACAATTATGATATAAAAAGGCATACAAAACACAACTACTTTGAGAATATTCCCACCCTTTCGAAAGAATGCCACCGGATATGAAAAGAAGACGGCCCGTTTTTTTCAGAAATCTATCTTGAGGAGTTGGCTGTGCAATCAGACGATGTTTTATGTCGAGTTGGTAGATTGGTCATACCTCTGCCGATCTGAAAATCAGTGTCACAGAATCTCCACAAAGGCTATTTAGGAGTAGAGAATATGAAAGTTCTGGCTCGACAACTCCATTAGTGGCCTAATTTGAATGCAGACATTTGCACAGCTACAAAGAATTGCTAGGCGTGCCTGCACAAACTGAAGATGAGATCGAATAACGAATTCATGGCCAGAGAGATGCTATACACCATGGCAACGGGTACATGCAGACATCTGCGGCTCATTACTGAATCGCTATTACGCCTTGTTTCTTATTGATACATACTCAACCCAAGTATCCCTGGTTTTACATAAATGTAATGTCGGTCGTCTCAATGACGTCCATAGTGTGAAAACTACCAGATCACTGAAGACAACAGGATCTCACACAGACGACACATGTCGAGGATTGAGTCTACCATGGAATTAAATATCTTCATTCCATTTTGAAGGTAATATCGAACTGGAAGTCAAACCAACCAACAGAAATGATCGGTCAGACTTGAGGCAGTACAGTTGGAGCAACTCTCGACGCCAACAAACTCCTCGAGAAACTGTCTATATTTGATTCTCCCATTATGAGCAATCAATTCAAGTTCATCGCGAGTGTTATTCATATAGTTGATAAAACAGCTATCCGAACGCATCAAGAATACCTACTTTATCTGTAACCTCAGCAAGAAAGAATTCGCATGCAAACTTCCTCTTCCTACAATCTGTGAGCTCATTGATTTGGTTCCAGGAGAATCCCCCGTTTCACATTTCTGATCTCGTTGATTGTGAAATAAATTGGTTACTTAAAGCACTATATGCTTCCACCTATTTGTGTTTCGCTTCTTTGCTTTATATCTTCCACGTTCATGCGCTGAATGAGCAATTTGCTTATTCTTCATCGACCGAGTGACGTACTAAGCTATACCATTTTAATTCATCAGTGTGCTGTTATTGATTCAACTGCGTTGGCAATCCTAGCACTTCAGACGTGAGGTTTGCTCGTCAGAAGTACTGCGGTTTTGAGGATGAATGAATGCTAGCCTTTTGATGCGCAATTACATGAACTTGCTCCCTCTCTTAACCCAATTGAGATGCAGCTCTACTCACACATATATTCGTGCTCAAATTAATGACCTTTATCACTTAAGCTCCTTGACAGCCATGAGATTAAACGCTATAAGTAAATTCATAATGACCATCATAACCACTGTTGTCTATGTATGTGGCAAACAACTGAGCGTAAATAGCCACACACAACATGCTCGCAATCGCGATTATCCACTGATAGTCTATATCCAAATATTTTGATTGCGCTCCGTAGATGCCCCACAGAATGTTTACACAAGCCTACACATCTTTTACCTTTGCCACTTGTCACAAAAGGAAGCCTGTACCACTGATTTGCAAAACCGTCACTTTGAATTGAGAACGAAACGCTGTGGTTCGATCCACCAGCCTTCAGCGTAACTGAGTGGTCAATTGATCACACGTTTTTCTACTCCATGATTGACCGCTTCTCTTCCAACACTCGTTCTGTGTTGAATTGGGGCAGACCTCAATCATGTATCTGGTCGAGCTCCCTGACGGTCGTCACTCCGGTGAGCCCATGGGATGTGCGCGAGACACCTGAGATGAACCCAACTCGAGAAGCACAAAGGGCGGTTCACTGACCTGTGCGCTACAGCTAAAGCTAAACTGATCGTAGTTGCTCAGACCTTGTCGATGGTTCAATCACCAATGCTTACCACAGTGACTACGACCAAATACGTGTTCAGTGTTTACGGTGTACTCCGAGCGTTGTAATCTTCACTAAATCATGGGCCTATTTGAATAGCAGAATTTGTTTAGAGGTTTGGTTCGGAGTTATTACGGTGAACCTTGGTGACTAGGCTGTTTCTCACCACTGGCCTAGCAACCAGAACCTGTTATACCTAAAATGTTGCTCACTCTTTCCTGACTGAATAACCAGTAGGACTGAAGGTAACAGAATGCAATCGATTCGTTTGACAACCAGAGATATTTCGAAGTTTAAAGCGAATATTTGTTGTCACGACAATTATTACCCTCGTCGAGGTCCGTCAAGTATGCGGTCTACCGTAGGCGAATAGTGAACGTCCGTCGTCACAAAAGCCCAATGTACCTCGAAGATTATCGAATAATTCTGACGGCTTAGTGGAAAGGATATGCTATGCTGAAATGCAACGCGGCGCTATGCGTCCAATATGGTTCGAAAACTTGCTTATTAACTTTTACGGGTATCTCCTGTTAGAGCATAAGTCAGCTGAATGGAAATAAATGCATGGGACCCGAGGGAGTTGTATTATAATTAATCTCCCGAGCACCACCCGGCCTTTTTATTTGCGATCGCACCTCTAAACCGTGCACATTCAAATGAAACCTGCAAGAGAGTTAGGTCTCTTCGGAGAAAAGTGGTAACTGGTAGTTTGGTTCATTCTCCTTTGTCAAGCCTTGTGCTGTAGATGAAACCGGATCAGAACAATAACCTCAATATTGATAGATCGTGTTCCCCATGCTAAAAAACGTTATCTGAATCTTGTGCCGTGTTATGAGGGAGATGACTGCCAGGTAATACTCACCAGGTCCTCGGCGCCGCTGCAGCTACTTATTCAGTGAGCCAGATCAACCTTATTCACGGCTAACTACCACTTTGGAGACCGTCTCTTCACCCACTACTTCAGGATGTGTCATATAACTTCGTCTTTAACGCGGTTCGAGACCAGAATGGCTTGAAGCAAGGTTTTCAGCCCCTTTTCCGTGTACGCAATTCTGCAGCCTGCTCAATGAACCATTGCGTTTCCGTTGTGGCGCACGAATTTGAAGTATTCGAATATTATTGTCTGATTTCTGAAATGTGTGAATGGTCTCCCCAATTTTGGAAGGTCATTAGATGCCCTAGTGATTGTCGGAATTCAAATCGCCCGACTGGGTACAGCTATTGTGGATCATAGCAGCAAACAGACAATGACATTCTAGTCGTCCAGTCTGATCAAACAAGATTGCCTAAAGAGATATGTTTGTACAGGATTTAGCGGAATGACCAAACGACCGCTGGCTGGAGGCAACCAAAGTAAGGAGCTTTGGGAAAGGCTTGTCAGTCGTGAGAAAACACGGTGCAACACAAGCCTCGATTTGAAATGAGATCGTTAAATAAGCGCATCTGCGTGCGATTTTACGCTGTGGAATGCATAAACCGACCGCTTTTTCTTGAATGACGTTGGGTAACACTCTCACAAATATTACCAAACAAGAGACAGTATTCATTTTGAGCTGTGCGCAATAACATCGTTATAACACACTCACCTGATAATGCAACCCATTAGCATAATGGCATACTCGAGTGTACACATTGCTCACAAGAAGCTGGGGTTTTTCAGTCTGTTGCTTAGAGCAATCATTATGTACGTATTATGTATTTGATTCGTTTTTTTCGAAGAAATAAGTTGCTATTTTTTCTGTGGTGCAATAGTTACTACCACGGCATTAATATTTCTCGTGCAATTATTTCGTAATCAGTCTGACGAGATGATTAATTGATGTGCTCGAATCATTTCCCATGCCATTCCATCTACATAACTGACACCCATGAAAGGTTCACTGATCAGTTGGTTCGTGTGTTCTAGACCAAACAGACAATGTGGTTTTCCATCGATTTGCCCGGTGGCCATCCTCATCACCAGGACAAGGCTAGTGCACACGTGGATGGATTGATCTGATCGCATCTGTGTCACATTGCCGATCCAAAAATCCACTTGAGTTTGCTTGACTGTGTGGGTCGAAGTTTGCTTTGGTATGGAGGAGTTTTGTGGTACACCAAACTGGATGAACCGGTAATGGCGCAAGTGTTCAACATTCCATGGCCAGGCCTGCAGGAGACGACTTGCTGTGAACCAACAATCGGCTCGTGCTCCGCGAGTGTCGAACACAAGCATGGCTATTGTTCGTCCATAGACGTTTTGAAATGTGACGTGGATACGCGTGAATCCCTGACGGGGAATGTGACCGCTATCCGTTTGTTCTTGTCCAGATGGAGTTGTGAATACCGGTCGAACCCACTGTTCCAGTGCACGGCTACGAAACCAACATTCACATCGAGTGTTTGGTACCTCATCGAATCCAAACGGTTGGTAACCCGGTGGGCTGATCAGCGGTTTTTGCCATATATCACTGACTGAAGCTCCCAACTTGGAGTCCAGAGCAAATAGAAGAGGATATGGTGTTAATTGTGATCCACCCGGAGAATTTTTGTACAAACTATACGGTACCGCATAGATACGCAATTCGTCCGCCTGGTGCAACACACAATTCCTGTCCCGGTCTGACTCGGGTTTCTCACCCAATGGGACAATACAATTTCCATTCTGTGCCGAGCCAATTGGTGTTCTGTAGAGAAATTTCGGATATTGATTGTCGGATGCGATACGGGTTGGAGTGTTTTGGTAGCACACAGACAAAGGTGAGTGTGCGTCTAAAACTAGCAGATAGATTTTGAGATCCGAACAGTACTTTGATAGTGGCGTTCGTGCATCTGGATTGTAAGTTGGCTTTTGCAGGATAAAAAAGGGGTCAGTTCTGAAATAGAAGAGCAGAAAGAAACGCTTATTCGAATGAGAATTGGATACGAACCAACCTCGAAGCCACATGTGGGGATTACCGGTACCACAGTGTTTCATAGCACTATCAGATAATCAGCAGACCCACCTTCCGCGTACTAAGTCTCATGAGACTGACCTTCTCTCAAATTACAAAGGAAGAGTTTCCTTTCGTCCGCCTTCAAAATACGATAGATACTTCATTCAGGCCCTTTGCATAAGCGTGATACTCTGGAATGACAACCAAACAGTGGTCGGAATGCCACATTTTCGATGCAGTATCCAGCTTAAACAACCTGGATTGTTTCCCCTGGGAGAAATACGAACTAGAGATGGTTTATTTCTTTTACACCCTGTTCTTTGCCTGTTGGCCATATTTACCTGAGTTGAATTTGAGATCCCAAATCGATCTGCTAAAATGATGTATAAGCAAAAATAAGATTGGGAGATATTTATGACTCGTTTTTGTGAAAGATCAGGATGATAAAACAATGTTTAAAATATCATTAGAAAATATAAATTAAAATGAGCAAACCGAAAAGAGGGGAACGGGGAAGAAATCGTTTGCATCGATTTTTAACATTGAAAGCAAAATATTTTAAAGCAGTTTTCTTCCTTTTCAATGGTGAATGTTTGAATTAGCTCATTCAGTTTTTTTACAGGCATCAGACACTGTTGATGATCTTGGGTTCGAGTCCTGGCAGGGACACAAAAAAGTATGCACTACTAATGAGTCCCAAACAGGACGAAACAGCAGTCCAATGCTCTTTGTCTGTTATCACAAACATTTCCATCACAATTTTCTTCCGTTTGGAAAAAGGTATCATCATCTCATATTCCAGATACCTTCTCATCAGATACATAATGTAAAACTAATCGAAAATATTTGTTCAATGTATTGAATGGCAAGGTCATGCTGGTCAATGTGTGCTGATTAATGTTTTGCCTAATATGTTATTCCTGTTGATATATAATTGCTAAATAGTTGCTGTATGCATAATTAAATAACGAAATAACGTTTTGGTACTTATAAATACTGTGAATAGTGTCAAATAGTTTCCTAATTGCTGCCAGTCTTGTAAGTGTTACCAAGCCTATCGAAGTCGTCCACAAAATATACCAACTGCATTCTCTTAGTTGAAAATGACTACTGCTTGTGTGTTATGTATATATGCAGAATATCCAAAGACATAATGTATACTGGATCAGTTCGCTTCATCTACTCACGTTAATACTACAGTTCAGGTGATCAATAATATATTGTTAGAAATTACAGAATCGTAGGTGAACTCTAAACTAGTGAAAGACTCCATTTCCCGTTACAGTATGAATGACCGTTTTCAACTGTGTACGCTATTAAAAACATAAATATTCAAAACAAACGCATAAGTGCTATGGTTTTTAATTCGCTTTTCCTCAACGTCCCACTACTGGAGACCACAAAAGAAAAGAACATTGACGTTAGACTAGAATTGGAAGACTTGGAAGGACATCTACTGTTGTGTACTCATAATGTGAAGTTCTGTTTTTTGGATGAACGATGTTAACAGATAGATAGATTTGCAACGGTCAGTCCGCTGGGGCCCATTCTTGCGGATATCCAAAAGAGGTCATCTCAAAGCACTCACAACCCAACTATACACGGGAAAATACACCACCTGCAAATAAGGTGAGATTGGTCCTTCAGCTGCCTTCTATGGATGGTGATATCAGTTGGCTGATTACGAAGCGCTTGAAAATCGGTCGTCAGGCCCACCTTCTACGTAGCTTATCCCATCGTTGTTTTCACCACCGCCCGCGTGCCAACATCCTCGGTGTCCCCCCACGCCACATCTAATTGTATATACTAATTCAAGCATGGATGTTCGGTCAACACATTGGAAGAATGAAGAGACAACTGTGTTGCCCATGAACAGAGTCCATCCCGGTCTCTTCAGAAAACAATCAGTAGAAACTTCAGAAGTATGATGTCACTGACGACTCGCGATAAACTCCGTTCAACCATCACACAACACCTGGTGGAAATGAACTACTGTATTATGCTGTCAGTTACGTTCAAAATCCTGTACAACACAAATAAAACCATGGTTCTAAAGTATACCAAGGCAATAGCCATTCTAAATTATCATCCCCAACTGTAAACTAGGTGTTCATCCTCTTCCGGGATAGGCTTCGACAGACTCCGAAACCGCATATTTGGAGACACTGGAGGTCATGGCTGCGAACAGACAGCAATGACGATCATGTTATCATTTCTTATCAAACCAGAATGCTTGAAATTGTATGTATGCACAGTTGGGTTGTGCACTCCGTGTTGACTGTAGAGGGGCGCTTTCTTTTCCCATCCCTAAAAATAGGTCCAATCCCTGTCCTCCTTACACATTCTCACTTACCTTGTATGCAATATGAGTGAAGTTCGCTTCACTGTATTACGCTGTACAATGATGATGATCCAAAACTGTGTAAACAGCATGAATGGCTTATCACTCTGGCGTTACCTTGGCAAAAATTGTGTTTGGTAAGTGATTTTAACCAGCCTGTGATTCTGTAATTTCAGACATAAACTGCAGTGCGCATGTATTCAAATGCAGCGAAATGATTCAGGATGCATTGTAAAAACCTGTACTTATGGCTCCTCCTTTCAACTTAGTTGAGGGAATCTCTGTTCCTAGTTCATCGGAATATAACTGACGTAAAGCCATATTTTGTGCTCATCTGAACCCCTCAATCTTCGTGGATATGAAACCTCATGCTCCTCAGCGCTAAATGCTTATCATTAGATGTAATCTTAATTTTATCTTTGTAGGAGAATCATTAAGCTAAATTGTTCATTTTGAATGAGCCTAACAGAAATTTCTTTGTTTTCCCAATGTTTTATTTCATTTATAGCAAACTATTCGCGGTATATAGAATCTGGATGTTATACAAGCATTTTCCACTTACATGCAAAAATGACACTTCTCGCCCAAGATGTCAGTCTGCACTCAACTTTTTCCTATTGCTGTCCCCCTTCCGCTAACGACAACACTGGGAATGACCACTCCTCTCTCAGCAATCCCTGCGTATCTCAGTTCTGACCTTGGTGTAATTTCTATCTGAGACTGTTTCAGTCGTGTTCTCTTCACTACCGATAAAAACCTTCTTTTGTTTATTTCTCCTAAATGGGCATCCATCTAGACCACCTTCAATTTCGACTGAAGCTTGTTTCATCTAAACCGCAAAAAACGGTCTAAAGCAGCTCTCTTTCAAAACAGAAATGATTGAATCACGGCGCACACGGAACCCTTGAACCAGTTTTGTATGCTATTTTACAGGTATCTGCCAAAACGTTTCAAAATTTCATCAGGGCTTCATTCACTGGTTGCAGTTCCGGACCTACCATTTGTGCGTTCGTCGTGCAAGTCTCCCGTACTCCGATAGTTTTTACTCAAAGCGCTCACTGTCGGTTCTGATATTCGTCAAGCACAGTCATAGGGGTACTTAGTCGCCCTCAAGTTTGTGCCAAAGCTCATTCGTGATCCATGAACTAAGAAACAAGCTCAGCTCGATTTTGCAGTGTGAGACGTTTGCCGCGCATTACTTCCATTCTCGCTTATTCCTGATGGTGATACAAAAGCAGCCACATCATGCGGCGTTCAGCCTCTCATGTGCTTACTGTATCACGGGTTTCAAATGTAAATGCACCAATTATTGCGCAACATCGTGGAATGTCATTTTGTAAGCGCGCGAGGAAGGTTAGGAGGCCATAAAATATATGATGAATAATAAAATTACGATGAATCTACTGCTTCCTCTCTTAGCTATCGCGAGTCTTTCACGTATCATACTCTCATAGCTGGAGTGGAGCCAGTGAATTTTGTACATTCTAGACAAGATATATGTATAGAATAGCGGTTTGCCAGATCGATAACCTATCTCACTGACATCGCACGACTGCGCATCGGTATTAATTGCGCTGAATCGGGCCTTTACACATCTGTGCAAAAGAAGGCTAAATTCAGTCAATATTCTTGCAATCAACGCCTAGGTGTTCATTATTCTGTTGTCTTAGTGGAAGTGCTTAGGACAGTTTGAGTGCATACACGAACACTGATGCACTTGCACATTCTGTATCGATTAAGGTGTGTCCGCTTCCCGCCATTAAGTTTGAATGTGTATTTTATTCCGGAATGAACAATATGGAGTCCGTAGGGTTCTTTTTACCCATACCTGTCTATGTGCTGCCGCACTGTCGAACTTTTATGGAAACACTACTTAGCTTTAATAGTCACTTTTCAAGTCATGAAGTTAGTATCAGATTAATTCACATTAAATAGACAACTTCTCCAATGTCGCGCTTTGAAAAAAGCTCTAACTCACTAAACTTGTCAGTGAAGAAACGTGACTTGGCTTAACTTGAGCCATGCTGTTTTCGCAACTCTAAGCGAACGTTCGCAGGTTAGAGTAAATCCAGGTGAAGAACTTAGGCAAAAGCCTCTTGACCCCAGTAACAATAGGACAGAGCAAGCCTGGACGGAAAGCCGAACTTCTCCGCCAGACGGTCTACAAATGTCCGCTTGTGTGCACATGCGACGAACAAGAGCGAAATTGAGTGAGATGATTTTATAACGCGGATGGACTGAAATGCAACGTATTCACGCTATCTAAAATGCACCGATTAGGTACGGTGATGCAGCCGAATAACGATACGCGTCTGCTGATATGATGAACACTGTGTTTAATTTCTGTGGGATTTTAAAGTAGCTCTATTGGCTTCACGTACACATTGTTGCTATCCTTATGACAGGCCTGATCGTAAACGGTACAACAAGGCAAATCTTGCGGCAACATTCTCTCTATTGAACGAAAGTGGCAAGTGCATGAACCGACATCTTGCAGAGAGGCCTGAAATAAACCGCGAACAGGTCAACAGCGCTATGCATAAGAAACGCACCATCATGGATATCAAGAGAAACTCCCTAACGAAGTTCGATGAAGCTGACCCGGTAACAGTGTAATCTCATTCATCTATCTCATATTGTGGAGTTGTAACCTGTCCGGTTTCTGATCTAATTATCCGGAATAAGGCAAAGCACGGTTTAGCTGAAACGCACCAAACTGATTTCAAATCGCTCACTGGATGGTTTCACCATCTCCAAGACATTTTCGCGATCACAATGAATGATAATACAGTAGTTTTGGATAGTAAGAGTGCACCAGATGTGATAGCGGACATCAAGGAGATGTTGGTCATTATACGCAGCACTGTCTAACATTCTCGAAATTGACCGAATATTGGAAAGTATCAAAATTACAAAATAGAATATAAATGTCACCAAACTCGCCAACTGGCATCAGGTCACCGTTTAAGGATTGTGAAAAATTAACGAAGTTTAACATCAATCTGAGGTTTTTTATGATTTTTACAGCCGAGCCGGTTTACTTTGTTTTTGATGTATATTTGAAAAAAGAAAACAGTATAGCAACATTACAACATGGCTTCTCTTTTCAAATTTGATGTATGCCGCACCAAGACGAAATGCTGCGTGAAATATCCAAGTCGTAGACTCATACTAACCAAACAGGTGTATAAGTCAACTGAAGTCGATAGTGCCATTACGCACCGGAGTGGGAGAATTTTCAGTTTCTCAAACCATATCTCTAGATCAAAATTCACAGAATCCGGTAAAATAAGACTAAAATAACTCGGACATCAGTTTTTTTCTACCGTAATCTTGCTTCCTATGAGCAAATGGACGTGTAACATATGACCAAGCAGATTCCCGACATGTATGGCGAACAAAGGTTTGAACTTTGAGCCCTCGGATGAAACAGAATGCCACCAAGGTAAGTCTATACCTTTTGAATCGCCAGTGACACCATCGATAATTCGAGTGAATCGTTCAACTGTGCTCACCTATACTGTGATTGGTACTTTGTCTGTCACATGTTAGCCATTGGACTAGGTCTAAAACAACTTCCATCTAGTCAGAATGAATTGATTTCCCCACAACCAAACATGAGTACTTCGTCACTGGGTTACCTAGAGAGAATGAAGAATTAAGTGGAATGAGGGTTTGACTATTCGTCACCCAGTAAATTTTAAACGACAACAAACTATTTTGTTGTTGATGGACCTCGGTACATCGAATTAGAGAGCGAGTCGCGAGAAGATGAATCAGTAAACCAATCACCATACTGAGGCTTAACTGTGAACCAGAGCGGTGAGATTTCACTGAGCTCTAGATCCTTCGAATCCCACTACTTGTTTGGGATCAAACGCAACTACTTTTATACAGTTATACTAGCGTTATGCGTAAACTACTTTGTTTCAGGGATCCTGATTTGCCTGGGTAAAGAGAGCTTGACAATCACCCTCTAAATCCAGTTAAATGTAAATTTCTGTTAATCCGTAAATAGATGAGTATAGTGATTAGTTTATGGACTCATCTTCTCGTGAATCACTTTCTCACTTAGAATTCCATCATCCCCTTCAATCAAGCATAATTTCCATTTCCGAATGGTTCGATGGTGTTGCCTGTTAAACCCGACCAAATACATCAAGGTAATTTTCGCCATTATTCGTAGGCCATCTACACATTCCGTATCGTCTGTTCCTACCATCTCGGTTAAGAATTCAAACAGTGAAAGGTCAAAGCATTTCAAACACCTTGGATATTTTCTGTCTGCTGACCCAAAATGGTCCTACCACGTGCAACAAACATTTCTTAAAGTCAGAAAACTGATGTTTTATATCTCATGCCTTCGATATATGAGGATTCAGTTTTGTGCAGTTTAGGAATTTATATTCTCGTGCATTTTATGACATTGGGCCTACTGTCCGTCGTTGGCTTCCGCGATCTTGGACTTGGCCAGACGATATTTGGAAAGTATCTCGTTTGATCGGGAGCTGCCCCTTATGTGGCACTATTCGACTACATTATCAACTAACACCGTAAGATATGTGACCCTCTATGTAATTCAATCCTCTGCACCCGTCTCTCTCTCTCTCGCTCCATTTCCACTTCTGTCACCCACAATAAATTTAAACGCTTATACGCTCGCACCACAACGTTTCACAAATCGGATGCACCTGATCTTCCACCTGCTGCAGTTTCTACTTAAATACGCGTTCTCAATCCTCATCACCATTGTCCAGCTACTGGATTATATATGTTTAAGTTCCTTATAATCGCACGCGCATCAAAGTAACAGTGATAGCGTTTTTACTGAAAATTCTGTGAATGCATTGTTGCCTTGACTTACATATGCTATAATTCGATTACAATAACAATCGACCGAGATCAAACGTCATTCATTGTCGTGTAGGGCTAACTGCTTCAAGGATCAAGGATAAAACCTTCCTGTAAGGGGGGGGAGAACAACCGTACCCTCACTCCACTTAAACCTTCATTTTCGCTCCTCAAGTCACTCGAGAAGTACTTATGTTTGGGCACGGAGAAATCAGAACGTTCGGACCGGATAAAGTTGTGAAAGACCTGGTTCATAGGCATGTGACATCCAAAGCATCGGTCACGTTATAAAGCAACGAGTTGTACCTGATTGCAGAGCTTACTGGACCTTATGGTTCATTCGCTCGAAGGTACGGGGATTCATCTGCAGTTACGTTAGGTTCACCTGAAGTTGCAGCGGTTTCATATGAAGTCGAAAAAGTATAGAATTGCATCGTTTAAACACGAATTGCTCACGGGCTACTGAACAGCGTTGTGTTTTGCATGATTTCCGTTTCCGGCCATGGATAAACTTCACGAAGAAACACTTTCTGATACCAATCTGAATTGCCCGTATACCTTCCGGTGAACACCAAACGTACTTGAGGTATTTGATCCTTCCAGAACTCTAAAAAAACTCGATCATACACGCCCGGAGTCCACTGGTGAAATTTCGGATGAATGAACCAATTCGCATGATTGCTATTCGATCTCATGCCCCGATTGTGGAAATCACGATATTGAATACCTGAACCGGCTTGCACGGCTAGAAATAGTATGCCTCCCATATGTTTGGCTGAATCCTGCCAGTCCTGGTGAATCGCAGTGAAATTGGCTCTTGCATTCGGGACCTGATTACTCTGACGGTCTTCTTTCATGGGCTCATTTGCATCTTGTGACGTCATTTTGTTTGAACGAGACGTATTGTCTGCAGGCTCCTCGCCTTGCACAGGCGTGTTCAGCCACGAATCGACCGGTGCTTGTGTGGTTACCAGTGTCTCGGGTTTTTCAGTCAGCTGAAACATGGGATGATTAGATGATTATAACCTACGGCAATACGTGTCTGGTTTGGAAGTGCGCATGAGTAAAAAATAAATGTGAATCTGCATTTAACAAAGGCTACTTGGGTTTGGTGAAATTTTGCTTAGTTAAAACGATGCGTAAGTAAAATACGAAAGGAACAACAGTTTGTCCGATGTGGGACTCTTATCAGGAGTCAATTTTTGTCCTGTTCAACATAAGTTACTTTGTTCAAACGGTTGTTTGGTAGATTGAAGTCTTATGTTAAAGTGCTATCGCTGTGGCCTCGTATCTCAGATGGTAGAGCTTGAGCTGTACAGAGGCGCAGGCGGCGTCTATTCGTGGGTTCGAATTCCACCGATGCTATTGAACTTTTCACAGTTCCAACATAAGTGTTACTTTGATCAATGTGGGCAATCCCGAACATACAAGTAGTAGCGAAAGAAGTCAAAGATCATAAGGATAAATATCTCGAATTTTTTGTGCCAGATAAAACTGATCATTTCAGTGTCCTCGAGTATCAGTAATCACCTCCGAAATCCTCAGTAACGTCGGGGGTCGGTGTCTAGGGTTGTGGCTGATCACCCTCGCCTTGCACCTCACGAAATGCTCCCATATCACCAAGCGTGTCAAATAGCCTCTGCTGAAGTAGCCCTACTCACTGCCTTTCCGTGGCAGAGGTGTTCCCCCACCAAAGTGAGAGGACGAAAAGCCGACATCCGGGGCTAGAACCGGGTTGGTGGAACACTGCTAGTTCTCCTAGAGGAGTTGGCCGAAAACCCTGATTCCAAACCAACCAAGAGGAGGCGTACGAACCACACCCACACCTTTCCGGTTGTAGCCNACCGGTTCGATTTGGCATCGAGGTGTATTGGGTACATTGGATGTTTGACTCCGTCCGAAGGGCGTATGATCCGATGAACCGGACACCGGCTCCCAATGGACTGCGGTTTTCACACCGCCCGCTACCTTCTGGGTCAGGCTTTGGCTGTTAAGAGGCTTCAGTTGTGGATTCCTCAAGAAAATTCACCTGCCTTGGCCTGGGCAACCTGGCAATATTTCACCCACATGCATATCATGGAACGTTTATCTTTTTAAAAGGATTATTGTACCATGATTTGTTAGGGACGCAATCCGGTCTCAGACGGGTGTGAAACAATATAATAATAATATCAATAATTACTTAGCGAAAATAGCAAATCGGTATTGGACCACATCATTTAGAATTGAACTGCTAGTTAACTGATAACGTGGACAAGGTTTTTCCGTGAGAGTCCGTCCAATGCCGTGTTATGCGGATGAAACGCAAATAAAAAGGACTATTTTTTACAAATTAGCGAACAAGCTCGTTTGTGGTGATTCTTCTACAGGCTAATACATCACAACTGTTTGGAAGGGGGGGGAGNATGTAGGTGGATTCCGATCGCTTCCGCTATGGCCAAAATGCGACTCCTAATCCTCTTAGATCGGCGGATGCGAACCAAATAGAGGGGTCGAAACGCCTCGACCACATTAATTACGTGATTTGATTCCACTAGGTGTGAAACGATTGAGCTGTTAATGGTCCTAATTACTCCACTGTTCAATCAGGCCGGGTGATGCTCACGGACTCGCACAGATAAACGTCTGCTCGTGCGGCCGATGTACTTTGCCCCACAGGAACAGGTAAATAGGTACACACAGAAGAGATGGCAGAAACAGGCAATTTATCTTTGAGTTGAAAGAGCAGAAGTGGCCTGGAGATGAACATAATACGCAGTTTTGCCGCGGGGAATGCTTTTTCTACAACTGTTCTGAGCTTACGTGTCACCATATCGGCAGTCGTGTCGCCCTTGAACGGTAGAGATATGTAAACTGGTTTCTTCTCCGCAGTAATGGTCTTATTAGGCAACCGGTGACGACCCAACATGTCCACAAATCGCACGAGGTATTCGTTTTGAAGGAAAACATCTCGAATAAACCTCAATTCTGCATCAATGGTACCGTCCGTACATATTCTCCGCGCCCTGGTAATGAGGCAATGAATTAGGTTTCTTTTCTGTTCCAAAGGCACATAGCTTTTGAAGTGGATATACTGATTGTTCCATTATGGCTTCCTGTGGATGGCGCGTTGGATAGTTCCGCCTGATCGACGGCTTAGTAGAACGTCCAGAAATGCAAGCTGCTCATTCTGTTCGTTCTCTAGAGTACACTTAATGTTTGGGTGAGCTGAATTAAATACTTTCAAGAGTCTTGACAGATGCACATTATCATTGACAAAGCCCAAAATGTCATCCATAAAGCGCTTGTAAAATGTACAACGATCAATTGTTCGTTTTAGGATGCTATTCTCCAGCTTTGCCATGAAGATATCAGCGAACAATGGACCCAGAGGAGATCCCATTGCTACTCCATCTATTTGGCGATATACTTCGTCATTGAATTTCTACTGTACATGATGTGTGCAAAAGTATAGTAATTGTTTGAAATCACCAACTGGCATTCCAACTTCACAATTATTGCTTTGTTTGTGGTCACATATGTATTCAATAGTTTCATCTATGGGAACGTTAGTGAAGAGTGAACTGACGTCGAGAGATAACATGCATATTCCACTTATGTTTGTGTCGTTAATACTAGCCACTAAGTCGTAGGAATCCTTTAATGTGTGATTGGCGAGTTTTGCTCGCACGGGTTCCAGGATCGCTACCAGCCACTTAGCCAAGGCATGGTAAGGGGAGTTACACATGTCTAAAATCGGTCGGAGAGGCACTCCATTTTTGTGTATCTTCGGTAAGCCATAAAGTCTCGTAATCGTCGTTTCTGTTAGTGGGAGTTGATCAAATATGGCAGTGTCTATTACGTCCCTCTGTTTGAGACACCGGAGCGTTTTCGACAGTGACTTTTCTATTTGTTCTCTTTTATCTTTCTCCCCGGCTATTTTCTGGTGTCGCTGAGTATGCTGTTCATTTTGTTGATATAGTCTGATCGATTTAAAAGGAACAGTGGAGTAACTAGAACCATTAACAGCTCAATCCTTTCAGAACTAGTGGTATCAAGCCACGTAATTAATGTGGCCGAGGCGTTTCAGGATTGAGGATAGAGGGCAGGGTGCCCGTGTAAGCCCCATCACCACTGGGTTGAAGGTCCGATCACAAGTGTTCGCTCCTTAATAGCCCCTTTAGGTGCTCATCCAGACGCCGTTTGAGAGCAGCGTCTGTCTTCTCTTCCACCACAATCGCTGGAAGAGAATTTCAGAGTGTTGTTGACGTACGCGAGAGTCGGTAGACTAACGGAAGACCAACTGACTGAAGTTTCCACAACGTGAGAGAATGCCCCTGTGTGCGGTGCTCTGTTCATAAAGGGAAGTACTGTTGCAGCTCAGGGCCCATATCACCTCTCAGGATCTTCCACAGGCAGATGAGATCTCCCCTGAGGCGTCGATCCCTCTACTTGGTTGGCACCCACCTATCTAAGAGGATTAGGAGTCGCATTTTGGCCATAGCGGAAGTGATCTGAATCCACATACATAATCCCCCCTCCTATGCTCGCAAACACAATTCGTAAGAACACTCGGTCTTCCATGGTCAACACCACACACGACACAGCCATCCCCCCACCCGCCCCTAATGGCCCAAACAAGTGCGCATGTGTGAAGACCAAAGTGTGAGTGACATCCGATCATGGAACTGGAATGTTAATTATCTCTTTCCAACTTGTCTTGATCTCTCCCCCCCCCCTTCCGAACAGTTTGATATAAATTGTGATGTATTAGCCTGTAGAAGAATCACCACAAACGAGCTTGTTCGCTACTTTGTGTTTTCTCACAATGTTTATGGGTGGTATATATTGGGACTATATTTTAACCACGTTTTTAATTTCAACCGCTGCAGTGAATACATCGTTTACGTGACAGGTTGACCAGTGATGGGTGCGACAATTGCCTCTTGGTTACAGCTTTTACCTCTGACCAGAGTATTACTCATTCGGTCGTACTGAGATTGTGTACTCATTACTGTACGTGTATGCGATATTAGGCGTGAGCAGTATTTGCCTTATTTCCCTTGGCTTTTTCGCCACACTG